TCAATTAGATGAGGCATGTAGAACTCATGATATTGCATATTCACAACACAAGGAGTTAAGTGACCGTCACAAGGCGGATGCAGTTTTAATAAATAAAGCGTGGGATCGTGTTACTTCAAGGGATAGTAGTTTGGGTGAAAAAACTGCTGCATACTTAGTCACAAATATCATGAAAACTAAAAAGAAATTCGGAATGGGTATGAAAAAGAAGAAGAAGGGAGTGAAGAGGAAGTGTAGGAAAAGGGGAGGAAAGGGTAAGACATTCTCAAATGTTATTCAAACAGGAATGCAAGCATTGAAAAAACAGAAACCATTAGATCTCATGAGTGCTATTAAGGTTGCACGCAAAGCAGTGAGTAAATCAATTGGTCGCAATAAGAAAAAAATAAAAATTCCTCGCATAATTAATGTACCCAAAGTTGGTGGTTTTTTACCACTCGTCCCCATTTTGACTGCACTTAGTGCACTGGGTAGTGTTGCTTCTGGCAGCGCAGCTATTGCTAAAGCCATCAATAATGCATCAACGAGTAAAAAACAACTAGAAGAGAGTAAACGTCATAATAAAAAAATGGAGAGTATTAGTGTGGGTGAAGGTATGTTTCTGAAACCTTATAGAAAAGGGTATGGATTATATCTTAACCCATTTAGAGGAAATCAAAAAAACTAATCAGTAAGCTACCCAAGAAGGCACTTTCAAATTTTGAAATTTTAGATTTTGCTCAAAAATATATTCCTCATTTTCGAGGTGTATTTATGAGAGACTCACTACCGAAATCACCTTGGATTCATGAATCAGGAATTATAAACCTAGGCGATGCCTCATCAAATGGTACACATTGGGTAGCTTATAATAAAAATAAAAAAAATATACACTACTTTGATAGTTTTGGAAATTTACAACCACCAAAAGAAGTTGTGAAATACTTGGGGAATAATATTAGCTATAACTATGATAGAAAGCAAGCCTTTAACACAAACAATTGTGGACACCTGTCTCTACAATTTTTACTCTCTATCAACTCATGATTGGTCTACACTCTTCTCTAGTTTTCTCTGAGATCGTTTCAAACCCACCCTATTTTTTAACTAGTTGCTTCATGGTTGGGTGAGATCTTAGAATACTTTCTCTGAGATCGTTTCAAACCCACCCTATTTTTAACTATTTGTCTCATGGTTGGGTGAGATCTTAGAATACTTTCTCTGAGATCGTTTCAAACCCACCCTATGTCTCAACTATGCTCTTCTCTGATTGGTCTGCTCCCGAATTTAAAATGAAAGAATGTCTTCAAAAATTGAGAGGGTTGTTCTACTCTCGACTATAAAATCGGTGTGAAAATTATTTTAACACACAGTCAAAGTTAAAAATCAGACAACAAACAACAAACAACAAACAACAACATCTATAAACAGCCTGGAAAAAACAGTTGATTAACTGCTAAAAACAGGTAAGAACAGCTATTAACTGCATATTAACAACAATTAACTGCTAAAAAAACAGGTAAGAACAGCTATTAACTGCATATTAACAACAATTAAACAACTATTAAACTATATAATAACAACAATCTGTTTCCATTTATTTTCCATCAATTAGAAAAAAACAGGAATCATCTGCAATATGACCAACCCGGAAATGGTAATGAAAGTTATTAAGGACTTCAATGGAAAGATGGCCAAACCTCTACTCACCAAGAACAAGATGAAAACAAATTGCTTTTACCCGATTATGAATGCTCAACGTAAAAAAACCAGCTATGGAACTTCCCTTGCTCTTGAACTTGAGGAGTATATTTTATACTTACCGGAGCGCTACTCAACCTTAGATGATGCAACAATCAACATTATAAAGGATAACCGTTTTTATATTTTGAAAAAGGATGATAATAATTTGTACTTGGAATTAAATAAAGTTGTGAAATCATAAAAAATGTATACATTTTTAATACTTTTAAGCTATATATTTGCAATAATAAAAATAAATTTTCTTCAAAAAACACAAATAAATTTGTTATAAATATTTAATTACATTTACATTTCTCACAGTATCAAGTGAGTGTCTGAGAAAACTAGAGCAATGAAACGTCAAGTCTTAAAACAGTTGACAGAGAGTAGAAATATTTTAAAAAGAAAGTTCAATGAATTAAAACAAATGAAAAATGAGAATGCTTCAAATTTAGAAGAAACTTTTAAACCAATTACAGCGCCTTTACATGCAATTCTTGCTGATAATAAGAAATTTAAAAATTCCAATGATGGTAATGTACCTGAGAAAAAATCATTGATAAAGAAAGAGGAGGAGCATCATGTCGCGAGAAAACAGTATGTGAGCGAAAAAGAAAGCGAAGATGAATTTTTTTCACAAGATTCTGAAAGATATTCTGATTCTGATTCTGATTCAAATGAAGAAGAAGAAGAAGATGAAGAAAAAGAAGAAGAAGAAGATCAAGAAAATGTAAATAAAGAAAAAGGAGTGGAATACGATCTCAACATTAGTCATTTAAAGAAACAAAAGCATCTAGACAATAGTTACGGACCTCGAAAAGAAAATAATATATTGATGTTAGGTAATAGTGCACTTAAAATTCAAAAAAATAAAATGGAATTGGAGAGTGGAAACTCATGGACCTTAACACAGGGTCTATACTCACTAATTTTTCATAACGCACCTCGTGACTATACTAAAGATGATTTAAAAATATATAAACAAATTTTAATTGAGACAAGTGCTCACAAAAGAAACTATGAACCCGACGGGCAATTAAAAGGAAATCGCTCGAAGAAATATTCATCAATTATTAGACCTCTTATGACATCAGCTGTCTCACCCACTCGAAAATATACTGGGTCAGCATATATGAAGCTTCAACGATCGAAACCTAGGTATATTTATTGGAATAATGTAAACGAGCTTGTAGAGAGGTTACAGCTTTTAATGAGTTCAAAAGCTGCTGGACATAATGGACATTCTAATGAGATTTTATCGATAATAGAAGAATTGCGAGAAGAAAAAATAATATATTAATAAAATAGAAGACACTTTATAATTTTTAATTAATATTAAAATGTCAATTGACAAGTTTGGTCATTTTTCGAATGATAGAGAATTTTCCTCACTTTTCAAAAGGGAGCTTGAAAGTCTCACGGGTGTTTATCTTGATACTGATGGCCATATAAATGTACAGAGAAAAAGAATAAAAAACTCTTCACAACCAATAAATGGTAATGACTTAGTCATAAAACTATATGTAGACAAGAAAATTGACGATGTTAAATTACTACAAATGGAATCGATTGACAAATCATTTGAGAATCGAAATAAAAGAGTATCAGAGTTGGAGAGTAAAGCAATAAAAATGATTACACAATTAGAAAATATAGATATCTTGATGAACAACATAATTAATCAAATTGAAAATATTAATAGTTTTATAAACTCAAAAAACCCACCACCACCAAATCTTCGTACGCAACAGGTGGAAATAGAAGGAACTTTGCTTAAAAAAAGCCCATTCGCACACCGTGAAAGAGATCCGAAAACTGATTTAGTTGAAAGTTAAATATACCATTCCTTCAGCTTTTATATTTATAATAATAATGACACTCGACAAGTTTGGATGTTTTTTAATTGAGAGAGAGTACTCAAGGGAGATTAAAAAGGGGGTAATCAAATTTCAAAGCTTACTCATTGACTATGATGGTAATTTAAATCTTCAGAGAAAAAGATTTAAAAATTGCTTACCTCCCATCCATGAAAATGATGTAGTAACAAAGAATTATGTTGATGATGAAACAAGAAAAGTATTAACAAATATATCTACTGTAATTTCCAATCAACCACAGAAACAGTCAATTTTTAAAGTAAAACCCCGAATAAATCATGTTGAGAGCAAAGTGAATGAAATTTCTTCAAAAATTGATTATCTAAAGAAAAATCTTCGTGAAATAATAATGCAAATTGATGAAATAGAAAATAGTATTTTCAGCTATATAATTCACCCGCAATCAATATTAAAAAGTGAAACAATATCTAAGGAGCGAACACCATTCATCCCGAATAAAATTAAAATATGAGTAAGCGAGATATTGTGAATGAATTACATCGCCCCACATTAAAAAACTTCCCACGACGTCGAGTGATAGTAAAAGGAATTAATGATTTGTGGCAAGCTGATTTAGTTGAGATGAGGCCTTATGCTACTGTCAATAAAGGCTATAAATATTTATTGACAGTTGTGGATTGTTTCAGTAAGTTCGCTTTTGGGGAGGCGGTGAAATCAAAAAATGCAACAGATGTCACCAAAGCTATGTTAAACATTTTAAAGTCTGGTCGAGGGGCACCCAAGAATTTACAAACAGATAATGGAAATGAGTTCTATAATAAACAATTTCAAGAATTAATGACGCGATTTAAAATTCATCATTACTCAACTTTTAGCGTTCTTAAAGCATCGATCGTGGAACGTTTTAATAGAACATTAAAAGAACTTATGTGGCGTGAGTTTAGTTTCAATGGAAAATATACATGGATTCAAATGTATAAAAACTTAATTGATATTTACAACAACAGGAAGCATAGAACAATAAAAATGAAACCAATTGACGTCAATGCGTCTAATGAGAAACAACTTTTATCAACGGTCTACAACCACCGAAAAGTATTTTTAAATAACAAAAATTTACGGGAAGGGGAATTTGTACGCATAAGTAAATATAAATATGTATTCACAAAGGGGTACATAGCGGGCTGGACCACAGAAATTTTTCGAATACGACATGTTAACAACACATTCCCCACCACTTATTTACTTGAAGATCTGAAGGGGACCCCTATAGAAGGCGGTTTCTATGCCCAAGAAATAAAAAAGACTATGTTCCCCCACACTTATCTCGTCGAGAAGATTTTGATGCGGAAGGGGGATCGTGTGCTTGTGCGCTGGCTAGGCTTTCCAAAGTCAGAAGATAGCTGGGTCCATAAAAACGAAATTCTATAATTAATGCGTGACGGATAGTGCGTGGAGGGCGATGTGCGTTGAGGGCGATGTGCGTGGAGGGCGATGTGGAATATACTCTGTGTATATGCGTGTGTGGTATGCGGCTGATAGTGCGTGGCGAGCAGTGCCTTCTATATACAAACCGAAGAAAAATCTTGATAATTGTTTGTATGTGCATGTGAATGTCTATGTTTTGTTTAATTTCTCTGCTCGTTCTCAATGTGAAAAGGGCGAATGAATTTTCGGTCCAGATCAGTTCCCAACTATTCTTACATTGGAAAACATCACTATGTCTTTCAACGCGGTCGTGATCTTCGTTTTCGCGACTATTTGGTGTGGCGTGAAGACTGCTCCGGTTAAATATGTACTAGCTAATTTAACAAACTCAACTTCATGGAATTCATCAAATGAAGTTGAGTTTTTAATGAATTTACCGAATTCGAACAAATTAATGAGGATAGAATTTAATTTTGAAATTTTGGAAGATACCGAAATTTACAAAAACATATCCTCAACTATTATTAATGATAAAAATGAGAAATTAATTGAAAGTGAAAGTGAAAGTGAAAGTGAGAGTGAGAATATGGTGCCTTCACTGCTGCGAATTTCGTCAACCCCGCCTTCATCACCCTCACGAATTTTCATCGAGGACGGAGAAGCAATATCAACTTCAACGCTGGAAACAACCCTCATTAATGGGGGTAATGATGATGATGATGATGATGTAGCAACAACAACAACGACAAATAAACCTGCACCCTCACCAATTTTGAATGAGGATAGAGAAGTTGATACAACCCTCATTAGTGAGGGTGATGGAACAACAACAACAACAACAACAAATAAACCTGCACCCTCACCAATTTTCAATGATGATGATAATGATGATGGAACAACAACAACAACAACAAATAAACCTGCACCCTCACCAATTTTATTCGAGAATGGAGAAGAACAATCGATGAGGACGTTGGAACCAATTTTACCTTCTACTACCGGAAACGAATCAAATACAACTCTTGTGATGACCAGGGAAAGGCTATTACTCAATAGTTCAACATTTGAAACATCAACTTCAGCTGTTACTTCAACTTCTACAACTACAGCGAATACTATGGCGGATGATAGTTCTTCATTTAAGATCATGTTGGGGATAGCCGATAATGATGAGGATAATGTAAGTCGCATACCAGTGAAGAGAAACACGACGCGTAGATTAAAAAAATAGTTCAACTATGAATAGCACAGGTATAGCCATAACCAAAAAAAAATTAATAGAAAACTTTAAGCAAAAATTAATAGCCCAGGAGAAAAAAATAGGTGGTCATTTCGATTTAGGTCACAGAGGAGCTAATAGATATTTTATTATTTCATATTCAAATGGCAAGGTGGGTATTAAATGTCACTATAGATCTAGATTAGCTCACACCTCAAATACTGACAATAAAAAAATAAATCATATTCCTCCATCAACACTTAGAATAAATTGTTTTGAATTTGCTGAGGCGTTAACACAAGAGGCTCTTGTTAATGAGAGAAAGAAAGACAAGAAAATTAGGACACAGATTTCGAGCGAGGCAGATCATCAAATTGCAACAGAAAACAGGTATCAGGATATTAACGATGGTTATTTAAGTGATGAACCACAAGTGCGGGAAATTAGAAATGATGAGGCAGAGCAAATAAATGCAATATATTTAAAAAAGAGGAATATAGCAGATAGACTGTTAGATGATTATTTAAATAGAAAAGAAACCCAGATTTCGAACGATGAAATAAAGGTTAAAAACATTGATGAGTTCCAATCAATACTTAATGATGAAATTTCATAGGTAAAAAGTTATTTCTCTTCCAGAATATAAAATTTAGTGAAGGTTATGACTGGGAGAAAAACAAGATTCAAAATGATACAACTAATAAAAAAGGTGAGTAAACTAAATTTATGTTTATTTTCAATTTTGAAATATTATACTAATTTTTTTTTCTTTTCTTTTATTTTCTTCTCTTTTCTTCTCTTTTTATTTTTCTATAGATAGGGGAAATGATATGAATGAAAAAGGTGAGTGAACTAAATTTGTATTTATATATTTTTCATTTTTTGTATATAGTTGAATATTTCATAATTATTTTTTATTTAATTTTGTTTACAGATAAGGCTTTGGAAAATAATCTAATCAATGAAGGGATTTTTTATGTAGACACAGATGAAGAAGAAGAAGCAGGACGGCTATATGAAAATGAACTTATTTATATGGAAGGCGGCGCTGAAAATTATAAACAAATCTTACCTTTAAATATAGACCAAGAAGATGAAAACCCCCTCCCCCCTCCATTTGTTGATGATACAAACCAAAACGAAAATGATGTAATTTTAATGGAGGGAGGATTAACTAATTACACCCAAATTGTGAAATCTAATATATTAGATCCATAAGAAGAATTTCCCACCAATAATGAAATGAATCAAGTTATTTAAAAAATTTTTTTGAAATTTATATTGTTTCTTTATTTAAAAAATAAAAATTTTTTTTTTTTTTCTTAAAATTGTTATTATTATTACTAACTTTTTTTTTTAAATTGATTAAGAAAATATACAATTGTTCTTAAAAATATATAATGAATATAAATAAAACTAATAATTTTTATTGTTCAAAAAAATTAATATTGTTAAAAAAATACATATTTGTTCTTAGAATTAAGTTTTTACATGTTTCACAAAGTTAAATAAAATTATACTTGTTTATTATAATATATTATCTAAATACTTTTTATTTAAAATCATCCGATTTTCTTATTATAAATAGGTCTTGTTCTAATTCCTTGACTTCCAATTTAAATTGGTCTTCCTCTCTTTTTTGTAAATATTCTTCTAATTTTTTTGTTCTAAATTACTCCTATTTGTACAATTTTCAATTTTTTTTATTTTCTCATTCCACTCGAAAATACTTACATCTAATTCAGCTATTTTACATTCTAAATCTTTTTCTTCTATTTTATAATGCCCATATGCCATAGTACTCATTTTATTAGAATCTATAATTCTCTTATCATCTTTACTATTAAGTATAATTTTATTACACCTAATAGTAGATACTACATGATTTGATGATCGAAACATTGCCATTGACCCTATCACAGACTCCTCAGAAAGCAAACACTTTTTATAATCATGAAAGTCTATTTTCTCTATTGCGCTTCGTTTGACACCTTTTGATTTTTTTATTGTTTTTTCAGCGCTACCATCACCCTCACTAAATTTATATGAATACATTTTCGAGCGTAAACCAACAAACTCGAGCATGGGTTTCCCATTGAGTTCATCTTTGAAAAACCCTAACTTTTTTTTATTGGTTTTAGGAAAATTATACGTTTCAGCAATTTTATCTGGAAATTCAGATGTATCAAAATATGACTCTATATCATTTCTAATATCATTATAGAAGTCATCAGTTTTGATGGTATATATAAATGAATCTGTGTCCATATAATTTAATTGTATGTTTTCATTAAATTTTGGTTTCATATAATTATAATGAAAATCATACATCTTCCATTTTGAAATTTCAAGAATTGAAAAACCTAAATATAATGGTTTATTATATAAAACATTTAATTTGGTCATTTGAAATGCATAAAAATGATCCGAAAATTTTTTCAGACTATGAAAGTTAGATTTAGAAATCAGTGAACGGGCGCAATCTCTTTTACGACCGGGAGAATCATTTGGAGTTGCACTTTCCCATTCTGAAATTAATTTAATATTAACGCGTTTATCAACGTTCTCCATGGTCTTTCCAAATACCGCATTGTTTAATAATTTATAAAAATCTTTATCAAATGGATTTTTAGCATTTGTACGATGAAAATTATTAAGATCAATATATTTCTTCAACCAAGGTTTTTGGAAGAAGCGAAGACCTCTATGAATTTTTTTTAATTGTAACCCACATTCTAAGCACTGTTTCAAATTTCTATAATGGATTATATATTTATTTTTATCTTTAAGATCTGCAATTAATTTCTTTACTTTAGATGATGGTGTTGGTAGCTGATTACTACAACAAAATGGTAAGTCATTATGAGTCTCATGCAAGCTAAACGGATAATCTAAATCTACCTCGAACATGTAGCCATATTCAGAATCATCTGGGAGCTCTAATATATTTATATTATCAAGGGTTTCCCTTGATACCCATTCAAATCCTCCATATGGCAAAGGTTGGGACATGGCCCATCCATACAAATTGTTGGCATCAATATATGATAAATATTGGGATTCTTTTTTATCGTCATAAGAATCCAAATATTTATGATTAGCTTTTGAATATCGATTTACGCATTGCACGAGACCACCACGAATACCCGATTGCAGAAATTTTAATTGATCTATATCTGTTAACAGTTCTAGCTCAATTTCGGTATATTTTAGCATGGCCTCCCATGATAAACCAGGTAAGGTGAAAAAATGCGCAGGGTCTAATGAATGAATTTTCATGCAGATATTTCGAAAGTTTTCAAAAACATCTGTCATTAACAAGACATCTGTTTTCAAATACAATTCCAAATAATCTTTTAAATTTTGACATGAAAATTTATCCCAAACCCTCTGTGCATGAGTGTAATTTTCTTCCGAACAATTAGTTTCTGTTAGGGAGCTATAGAATGCTTCTCGGGGGGTAAAGAAGTTTCTGATAGCCTCTCAACTGAATCTAAATATTCATAAGGAAATACACCCTTACGCCTCATCAAAGAAAATTCTTCCTGATTTTCAAAGAAAGTTTTCGTTGTTACTAATTGATCATCATCTAGGTTTGATGCAAGTGTGTCTAAGGCGGACGACATGAAGCGGAAAGAATCAAGGAAGCGAATCTGAAAACTTCCCCCATCATCAGTAGTTATAGTTTTTGAGAGGGAAATATAGTGCTCCTTATTCGATGGAATAACACTCATTTCTCCAGGTATGAGAGCCAATTCTTTCACGAATAAATGACAATCATACCTGGAGAAATTATGGAAAAAAACTGGGATGAAGTCTGGGACTTGATATTTTAAATTGCATGCATTATGTGCAGCACCTCTGAATTTACCAGTAAAATGGCAATGATCCCTCACCCTATCTAATAAAAGGGGACTATGGCAGATATGACATTTATCAGTTTTTTGGAATTCTTCTTCCTCATCCATAGACATTTGGATGGGAACTTCTTTTTGAAATATAATTTGAATAGATATATTTTAAATTTGTAATGAGTGAATTAACAAAATTTTGCCCTGCTTCTAAGGTCGTTTCAATTTCTAACTTACTTAAACTATCATCATACGCGCACTTAATATAATATGCATATGCTATAGGCACATGTGTATTTATTTTAAATAGTTTTTGACTAATAGCCTTCTCATCAGGCTGCAGTATAGCTTCAAAGTCAGCATATACTGAAAATGGCACCTTAACCTCCTTATGAACATTCGTGTAGCGGAGGGTGGCGTTCTTCGGATGGGGCAGTCTAGAAACTATTTTGCTACACACTTCAGAATGATGTTTGGCGGCTTCCTCAGTTAAGGAATAGTTTAGGCATCTATTACAGAACCACTGCCTTCTTCCGCCTCTCCCCATCTGAGAGGAAACAAAACTAAAACAAAAAATAATAAAAAATAAGCTATTAGCTAAAATCCCCTAACGTTTAACCATATATAAAGGTGAACAGAAAATTTTACAAAAGGTGAACAGAAAATTTTAAAAAAGGGACGGAATAAAAAAAATAAAAAAAAAAATATATATATATATATATACAAAATTAAATAATAAAATAATAGAAATAAAAAAAAAATAATAATAATAATAAAATAGGAGAATAATAAAAATAATAAATAAGACTCACCCTGAAAGATTTGTGATCCATGTGTAGTGCGCTTTATTTCCTTCCTCCAAAAGCAGCATATTTATGTGGCGGGGTTTCACCTCAGGTGGGTAAAAAATGGGTCCATAAATTAGTCCATCACCATATCCAAAAACAGATACGCTCAGCTCCAGGTTTTTTTTCATAAAATCCGTTATATGTCGGGGGTTGAGAGGGAACTCCAATCCACTGAAATCCAGTGGGTATCCGTTTTGGAGGGTGATAACATCATCATCAATGTTAACCCTGTACCCGCTGCATCTACCCCGATTGGTTGGTCTGTTCATGATTGCCGCAATTATCGTCCACTTGAAACAAAACTCATCGTTCAAGTTTTTCACATTCACAATGGATGTTTTATTTTCCAGTGCCTTGGGTAGCTTGATAAATGACGATCCTCTTATTGGTGAATATTGGTTCACGTTCATCTCAAGCCGAGTGATGTGGACCAATGTCCATCCACTATCCCTCTCTTGGAACTCATCCATTTTTCCAATTTTTTCTCCGCGTGTTCCTCATATTCATTGTTAATGTCTGAGTGCATGGAGAGAATTGTCATTTTCGATTGAAATGACTTCATCTCCATACACTCCTCTTCATCTTTTAATAGCTTATACAAACCGAAAAGTTCAAAATTAACTTTTACGGATGCATAGCTTTCCAAAATTGTTGCTAGATGAGGCAGAAATGCGTCTCCTGCCTCTCGTAGAAATGATGCCGGGAATATCACTCCTGCCTGCGTATTCTCGAACAGGTAGTGAAGGATCCTCCCTCGAAATCCATCTGCTACTTTTTTGACCCGGGAATCCACGGGTTCAATAGCATTCATTTTATGCTTCTCCGTTCGCACATGCTGATTCCATTCAGCAGAGGAATTTGTTGGCATATTGCACTTTCCACAGAATCGATACATTTTTGCTCTTGTTTTTTATTTTATGTTTTTTAATTCACTTGATCGATTTTTTTTTTTTTGAATAGCACAGCACAGCACTATTTACAAACAGTTTTAATAATTTCTTAAATTTTCCTTTTGTTTGTTTGTTTTTATTTTTTGATTTGGTTAATAGCACAGCACAGCACAGCACTATTTACAAACAGTTTAAATAAGTTTTTTAATTTTCCTTTTTGTTTGTTTGTTTTTTAATTTATTTATTTTTATTATTTTTTTTTCTGATTTCAATAGCACAACACAGAACTATTTACATTATTCAGTTCACTTTCACTTTGCTTTTTTCAGTTTCTTTTTTTTTTGTTATATATTTTTTAAACACTTGGTCGAGTTTTCACTTTACAAAAAATGTATTATTGGAGACCGAGAGAAATTTTCGAGACGAAGAAAAATATCTTGACGCGAGCGAATGTTTTTTTAAACTAAAACCATTTCCCGAAATGCACTTTCCAAGATGACTTTTTGGGGTTTAGAAAGTACCCCATTTCCTTATTTCTATGAATGTGCGTGAGAAAGTCTTAAGGGGGTATGTTTAAATTCTTATGTGTTCTTCAAATTTCTCTTTTTGTTCACATCCCTTTTCTATTAGAAAGGTTAGCTCCCCGAAAT